TTGGTCCTATTTTTTCTTCTATGAACTTTATAGTTTTTGACTTTATATTTAGGTCTTCGATCCATTTTGAATTGGTTTTTGTATATGGCATGAGGTATGGGTCCTGTTTCATTTTTTTGCAAATGGATATCCAGTTTTGCCAGCACCATTTGTTAAAAAGACTGTCTTTTCTCCATTTGATGGACTTTGGGCACTTGTCGAAGATCAGATGACCGTAGGTGGATGAATTTACATCTGGGTTCTCAATTCTGTACCATTGGTCAATGTATCTGTTGTTGTACCAGTACCAGGCTGTTTTGACTACCGTGGCTGTATAGTAGGTTCTGAGGTCAGGTCAAGAACTATTCTTATTGTGTGCCATTGAGCCAATTCTGACTCATAGCAACCCTATAGGACAGATTGCCTAGTAGAACTGCCCCATAGGGTTTCCTAGGCTGAAATCTTTTTGGGAGCAGTTTGGCAGGTCTTTTCTTCCACAGAGCCAGTGATGACTTCTAACTGCCAGCCTTTCAGTTAGCAGCCGAGCACTTAAGCATTGTACTACCAGGGCTCCTTGATCAACATCTAGGATCAGCTAACTACTATTTGCTTAGGGCTCTTACCCTCAGTCCTTGAATCACTCACCTTGAATCCTTCTCCCACCACTGTCCTTTGCCAATGAACAAATGCATGGCTGAAATGAGCTAACAAAGTGCTCATAGAGGGAGTTTGACTAGGAGTCTTGGTTCAAGAAGATGTATTAATATGAAATCTTATCCTTAAAATATTTTTGAGCGGTATAAATTGGAATGCATCAATGCATTTCTTTGATCCATTTATAAGAGCATACATTAATTGAATAATCATTGAGGTACCAGCTATGTACCAGGCACTATGCTAATACTGATGATGAAAAAGACATTTATATTCTGATGCGAGAGACAGCTAAGCGTCCAATGCAGTACATTCTACTCACAGTGACAAGAAATAGTCCTAAGGTAATAGTCTCAACATATTTTGGTTTAGCATGCAGCATCAGACAAGATATAACTGTTGAACAGGACTTGTAACACAGAGTACGGCATATAACAGGAGAAATCAAAATAACTTCATTTTAAAACAGATGGAAAACTAAATTAGGCTTAGAAGAGGACAGATATGCAAATGATGTTTTTTTTCTTTCCCTCCCAAGTAATCCCTCCCCAGTAATGGCATGTAATATCTTATTTAACCCTAATAATATCTCACCAGTTGGGTATAAGAAATTATACATGTTTTACATACAAGGAAACTGATTTAGAGAGATTAAAGGGTATTTTCATCATCATCTGTATATGTTTGTTCTTCTGGCAGTCCATAGTATATTCAATATTTTTCTCCAACACCATAATTCAGAGGTGTTAATCTTCCATTTTCCTTATTCATTGTCCAGCTTTCAAATACATACGAGGCAATGGAAAATACCACGGTATGGGTCAGGTTCACCTCAGTCCTCAAAGTGACAGTTTTGCTTTTTAACACATTAAAGAGGTCTTTTGCAGCAGATACGCCCAACGCAATATGTCATTTGATTTCTTGACTGCTGTTTCCATGGGCATTGATTGTGGAGCCAAGTAAAATGAAATCCTTAACAACTTCAATACTTTCTCCATTTATCATGATGTTGCTTATTGGTCTAGTTGTCAGAATTTTTGTTTTCTTTATATTAAGGTGTAATCCATACTGAAGGCTGTAGTCTTTGATCTTCATCAGTAAGTTCTTCAAATCCTCTTCACTTTCAGCAAGCAAGGCTGTGTCATCTGCATATCACAGGCTGTTAATAAGTCTTCTTCCAGTCCTGATGCCATGTTCTTCATATAGTCCAGTTTCTTAAATTATTTGCTGAGCGTACAAATTGAATAAGTATGGTGAAAGGACACAACCCTGAACACACCTTTCCTGATTTTAAACTGCACGGTATGCCGTTGTTCTGTTTGAATGACCACCTCTTCATCTATGAACAGGTACAGCATAAACACAATTTAGTGTTCTGAAATTTCTGTTCTTCGTAATGTTATGTAACTAGTTATGATCCACACAGTTGAATACGTTTGTACACTCGATAAAACACAGGTAGACATCTTTCGGGTATTCTCTGCTTTCAGCCATGATCATCTAACATCAGCAATGATATCCTTTGTTCCTCATCTTCTGCTGGCAGTTCCCTGTTGATGTACTGCTGCAAACATTTTTGAATTATCTTCAGCAAAATTTTACTTGCATGTGATATCAATGATATTGTTCAATAATTTCTGCATTCTGTTGGACTACCTTTCTTTGGAATGAGCACAGATATGAATTTCTTCCAGTCAGTTGGCCAGTTAACTGTCTTCCAAATCTCTTGGCATACATGAGTGAGCTCTTTCAGCATTGCATCTGTGTGTTGAAACATTTCAGTTGGTATTCTGTCAATTCCTGGAGCATTGTTTTTACCAATGCCTTCAGTGCAGCTTGGACATCTTCCTTCAGTATCATCAGTTCTTGATCAAATGCTGCCTCCTGAAATGGCTGAACATTGACCAATTCTTTTTGGTATAGTGACTCTGTCTACTCCTTCCATCTTCTTTTGATGCTTCCTGAGTCATTAAATATTTCGCCCATAGAATTCTTCAATATTTCAACTCCAGCCTTGAACTTTTTCTTCAGTTCTTTCAGCTTGAGAAATGCTGAACGTGTTCTTCCCTTTTGGTTTTCTAACTCCAGGTATTTGCACATTTTATTATAATAATTTATTTTATCTTCTCATGCTGCCCTTTGAAATCTTCTGTTCAGCTCTTTTACTTCATTATTTTTTCCATTTGCTTTAGCTACTCTATGTTCAAGAGCAAGTTTCAGTGTCTCTTCTGACCTATTCTCCCAGGCAAATAGCACCATATGTGATGGATTGAATAAACTGTACATAATCTTAAAAGTGTGTGGGGGGATCCTCATAATTTTAAATGTAATTTTTCCCCAAAATTATCTTTTCAATGGCTACTTACTGTGTATGTATGTCTTCAAATATCAACATAAAAATATGCATGTTAAAATTAACTAACACCCAGTGGTGTTATGGTAAATAACAATTAATACTCTATTTAAAAAAAAATCAAGAAAGAAAGAAGGAAGCCCTGATTTGTACTGTTTGCATATTTCCATGGTATAAATATCTCTACCTTGGCTGATTTCACGCTACCAATGAGACATCACTGAATATGGAATTAGGAAGAGGTAAAACATAATCGGCTTTCACCAGATGGTGTGAGCAGCTCCAGCAAAGCACTGCCCAGACTTCTCAACTACTGGAACTGAGAATGGAAATACAAACAAACCTGAAGTAAAGGCTACATTTTCCCAACTTTTCCACCCAAAACAAAAACAAACAAATAAAATCTGTTGAAAATAGAGGGTTTTTTGAAATTAATTTAAATTTTTTAATAAGAAAACTTACAAAATAAAGTCAAAAAACTTTCTAATGACACTTCTAAGAAATTGCAGGCTGAAGTTAAAAGGAAATCATCTTGGGAAGGAAAATCAAGATAACTTGTACTGGGTGCTTATTTGGGACATTACAACATGAGGAAGTGTGTCTCACCTAGAGATGTTCTTGCTGGAACAGCATCCTTATTGATCCAGAAAGACACCCAGGATAGGACGACAATCAGTGTGCAGGGGATATAGGTCTGGATGGTGAAGTATCCCATTCTTCTGCTCAGGTCAAAGTAGACAGACATGACCACATAATCTCCTACAACAGAGCAAATATAACACCATGACACCATACCAAAAACTGGGGTGCACACATTGAAATTAAGGGGTCTATACAACGGATACGGATCCCTGGTGGCACAATGGTTAAGTGTCCAGCTGCTAACCAAAAGGTCAGCAGTTTGAATCCATCAGCCACTCCTTGGAAATCCTGTGGGGCAGTACTATTCTGTCCTATAGGGTCTCTCTGAGTTGGAATCGACTCGACAGTAACGGGTAAGTAGGTAGACAAGGGATAAGGACCTCTGGTGGTGCAGTGGTTAAAGCTCTCAGCTGCTAACCAAAAGTTGGGCAGTTTGAACCCACCAGCCACTCTGTGGGAGAAAGATGGCAGCCTGCTTTCATAAAGATTTACAGCCTCAGAAACCTTATGGAGCAGTTCTACTCTGTCTTACAGGGTTAATGAGTTGGAATCGACTCGATGGCAGCCGGTTTTTAGTCAAGGAGTGGAGCACATGTATGTTGCATATGGTTAAGTGCTAGATTACTAACCAAAAGGTTGGAGTTTCAAACCCACCAAAAGGCCCCCTGGAAGAAAGACCTGGCAATCTGCTTCTGAAAGGTTACAGTCATGAAAACCCTGTGGAGCACAGTTCTACTCTAACACACATGGGATTGCCAGGAGTCAGAACCACCTCAACGGCAACTGGTTTTTATTTTTATTTCTTTATTTTTTTTAAGAAGGGATATATTCTGCCCACTTGGGTTAAAAGACTAACAAACAACAAACACTCTGAATTGAACCCTGATCCTTATGGAAATCCTATAACAACTAGAGGGAATAAAACATTTTTTAGAGTAACGGTTATATTTTCTTCTTTGAGGAGTTCTTTGATCTTGCCTCCTGTTCTTACTTGATGCACACAATATAAATTTTTGTGTTTGGTGTAGACAGCAGAGAACAGTGCTTCTATACTCTTCCTCTCTTACCTGCAATGAATCCTGAGGCTTGCAACAATTTTCTTTTGTTCTCAGGACCTCTATTCATACAAGTCAGAGAGGAATATCCTGGTACTTGACATTAATAAATGAATATACTACTCGGAATTTATAACCAAATCCCAGTGCTGAGACATATTTATTATTGGATTTTCATTGAACCATATGGTTTTTCTTCATAGAAATTATTTTGATTTGTAATTGTTTATTGTCATATCTTTCTCGCCTATTGGAATTTAGCTGCTTAAGTCCATGAACAGAGCCAATTTTAGCCCACCACTGCACCACCAGTACCTAGCATACTGCTTGACTCCAAACAGGTATGCAATAACATTTGTGGAATAAATGAATGAATGCATTTATAAATTTTAAACATAAGGAAGAAAAAAACAATCAAGAAGCAGTGTTATGGAACATACAGATTAAAACAGGAACTTATGTAGCTAGTCCAGAGTATATACTAATAAAAATACTAAAGAATCAAATAATAATCATATAGCTATGCATAAAGAAAATTAACATTACATAACTTGAAATTTCTGATTTTTTAAAATAATGATTTGAAAATTGCTTTTAAAATCTCATGCCATTCATTTTGGATGATTCCCAGTGAAATTTTAGGGGATTTCAGTTTTTGAAATTAGAAAATATACTGTGAAAATACATCCCACTTTTTCTCTACTTATGTTTTCTTTATATCCTTTGAGAGCAACAGATTCAAAGACTATACCTTCCCTCACAATGAGAAGTGAATAAATGAGACTACTTTTTAAATGTTTCTTCTTTTTTCTTTACTAAATTATATTTTGCTATAAAATACATGGATCATTAAATCCAAATCATGTGTCTTAGCTTAATTAGTTGGCTTCCTGCCTGTGTTTCTCTATTTACTTGGCTGATTTAGAGCTGATTTGTAAATAAGGTGTGTTAGAAGCCTCGTGCAGAGCAGGTTGACTTAGCAGAGTAAGCTATTAATACTCTGGCCAGTTCTTTCCTACTCTCAAGTTTACCCCACGTTCTTCCAAGCTGCCAAGACAGAAAACATTCACGGGCCACTCTTTGAGGGAGCAAAGATTCTCCCTTAAGCCTGCAATGTTTCCTAAGTGAGATTATGAATACTTTCTAACACTGCCTTTTGGTGGAATGATAGACAATTACTTGTCTGAGTCAGGTGTGGTTAAGGCAGTGATAGTGACAGTTGACACTGAGCAGGGAACTGATCCTCCGTTGGAACATCAGTCCCCTCAAAGACCGATTGCTGTTGTTGTTGTTAGCTGCCATCAAGCCAGCCCTCGACTCATGTTGACCCCATGTGTTACTGAGTAGAACTGCTCTATGGTGTATTCTTAGCCTCACTATTTATGGAAGCGGTTCACCAGGGCTTTCTTTCACAGAGCTGCTAGGTGGATTCGAACTGTCAACCTTTAGGTAAGCAGCAGGCCACAAACCACTTGCACCACCCAGTCTCCTGGAAGATCAATAAGTAGCAATTATTCCTGAAAACTTCAAGGTAGTAATGTCTTGCTGATGATAACTAGTTTTTGGTTAACTCTCTGAGATTACACTTCTCATGGCGCAGTGGTTAAGAGCTCGGTTGCTAACCATACGTTTGGCCGTTCGAATCCATCAGCCGCTCCTTGGAAACTCTATGGGGCAGTTCTACTCTGTCCTATAGGGTCGCTAGGAGATGGAATTGACTCTAAGGCAATGGATTTGTTTCGTTTGGTATTGATTTATCTGAACACAAGCTATTTAAGGTCACAGCATTTCATAAATTAGTTTGGTACTTGCTTTTGTCCTGATTGAGAATAGGATAGAGACTATTCTAAATTAGACTATTCTGAATGCTAGTCTAATTTAGAATGGACACAGGCTACGACTGAAGATGAAAAACCTTCAACTTGAGATGACCCCTATTAAAGCCTATCTTTTTCTTTCTTGTTTCTTTGGCCAGAATATCGGAAGCAAATGCAAGCTCCCTTATTTTAGACAGCAAAAATAAGCAATGAGAAAAGATATATTTTTTAGGTGATAATATCCTGGGGTATTTTTTTACCCCTATTTTCCAAGTCTTTGAGAATTCTTTCTGCATATTTTAAATGTGAGGAAATGAAAATTCACCATAGTACTTTAAATAAATCTAAATAATGTTAGCAACTTCCTTCTTCCTTCTCACATAAGTGAATGAGAATCTACACTTTGGCCTTAATGATCTGACTCTTTTAAAGGTGAACTATAATTTTGCCTCAAGTTAACAAGATAATTATCTCAATGCAATTCTCTGCTTCCCCTTAGGTCAGAGTCTAAACTTCTTTGGCCTACTTATCTATCAATTGCTATTATAAGGTAATAGCTTCTGAGCATCTTTCATCTTTGCCAGCAAATCCCAAGCTTTTCTACCACTGGATTACAGATTCAAACTTGGGAACAGGCCATTTAAAAGCAAAGCGGCTTCACAGTGTCAGTCTGATGCCTTCTTATCTCTCAGGCCACATCACTTTTTGTATTCTGAAAAACTCTTGGGCCAAGGAGCCTATAAAATCAAATCCTCTTAAAGTGCCGCATCAGTAATTCCCCAAGCCTGAAAGGTTTAAATGCCAACCAAGTCAAAGGTGGTTACTTCAGCCACTTCAAATTTACTCTATTGATTCTTTTTAACATAAGCTATTTAAAGTCATAGCAGTTTATAAATTAGTTTAGCCTCTGCATTTGTCCTAATTTGGAATGTAATAGACACTGGCTAGATGGAGGAGAAAAAAACATACAATGTGAAATAACACCTATTAATGTCCATCTTTTTATTTTTTTGTGAGCTTTACTTGTCCAGATTTAGGAGGAGACAATCAACATCAGTAAAAGAGACAGGTGTAATTGTTTTTAAAACTGTGGTGCTAGATAACCATGTAGAAGTTTTTAGTGTTATTAGGCTGTTTAGGCTCTTATTTCAGACATGAAATAATTTTAAAACTTAAATAGTTCATGATAGAGAAGTCCTTCCCTTCCCTGAACCCCTGAAATAATAAAAATAATTATTTTCTAGTTACTGGTAATGAGGGCCTTCTATGAATAGACACTGGGCTAAATGGTTTGCATATATTATCTCTAAATATCCCAAAAACTTTGTCAGGAGAGTGAAGAAGGCTAAGATGCAGGTGTACTTTCACTTTTTTCTTCTCTCATCATCATCATTTTTACCTTGTTGTATGCCCTTAAGTTGATTCTGACTGATAGTGACCCCATGTGACAAGAGTAGAATTGCTCTTTAGGGTTTCCTGGGCTGTAATGTATGGAAGCAGAAGGCCAAGTCTTTCTCTCGTGGAGCCAATAGGTGTGTTTGAACGACCAACCTTTCGGTTACCAGTTGAGCACTTAACCATTGCTTCCCCAGGGCTCCTTATTTTTACCTCACTCCTCTGAAATATAGTTGCATAGAGTCTACACTATTCTAGTAGGTTTACTTTGATTGCATTCTTAATGCTATATTCTGCTTTACATTCCTTTCTGTAGTTCCTTCATTATTTAATTCAACAATTATTTTTAATCATTGCTATGCCTAGGGTACTAATTTAGGTGATATGGAGATTAAGACTTATGGAGTCTCACAAGTGATTTTAAATTCAGTAGGTGAAATGGGAACAATATTATTTTCTTTCTGACTACAACTCATACCGACACAGAGGTATGTTGAGACAATGTATTAGATCTCAATAAACACTAGAATCTGAGACTTCATTCTATTAGGTTGATTATGACCACAGACAGGCAGGAGAATTGATTGGTATATTTTCATACGGAGAAATTATTTTCTGAAGTTAGATTTTAACTTGAGTTGGAATTGACTTGACAGTAATGGATTTTTTTTTTTTTAATCTAACACACAAAAATGAATTTAGGATGGACTGAATATCCCAATTTAAGTATGAATATAAATACTACACAAGGAGAGAGATATAGGAGATATATTTATAATATTAGTGTGGAAAAAGCTTTTCAAAAATAACATAAAACATAGAAGGCATAAGAAAGAAAATACAGGTTTAC